GACTGGGCAGCCAAGAAATCTGTGGCAGGGCCAGGAGCTGAGCCCCCATCCCCTGTGCCCTACCTCATCAATGGAAAAAATCGAATGTCCTCATGGCACAGGGCTGGGAGAAGGGTTTACCAGCAGGAACAAAACTGAATGTAAAGATCTGAAGGGGACAAAGCAGTGTAGTCTTGGCCTGGGTCCACAGCAGCAGGCATGAGGAGGAGCAGAGGGACTGAGGGGGAAAGGAGATGTCTGGGGTTTGCCAGCCTGGCACAGCTCTTCCTTGCCAATGGCAAGGAACTTAATGCTGTCAGCAACTCACCCACTGGTTATCATGCATTTAGGAGATCTGTACTTAACTAGACAGCCCTGACTATTGCTGATACCTTAATGAGCTCTATGTTTATCTTTAAAGGATAAACTGGATAGTAGTTAATGGGCCACCAAATGCCGGCAGGAGAAGACAGGGAGAGAGGAAATAGGAAGGGGTCTGATTTTGCATGACACATCCCCCTAACCAGTCATCTCCAACAGCATACTACAGAGCCAAATTATCCAGAAATCCTTCTAATTGCCATCAATAAGCATGGAGTCAGCCTCATCGATCCCAAAACCAAGGTAAGCAAAACTGAGGTACTCACCAGATGCTCCTGAGCCCACTCCCCAACCCCTCACAGAGGTCACCCCAAAGACCGTGTTGTTCAGAACCTCAGGAGTTCTCATTAAACCTAGTTAGAAAGGCTGGATAGCCAGAAAAGTTTCTGGAGGCAGAAATTCACTGTTGCACAGAGACAGCCCAGCCTTTTTCAACAGGAGGTGGATTGGGAGCATCAGGCCCTGCAAAGGGGGGGTACACCCGCTCTTTCCTTAATCCTTTCACAGACATTAGGACAGGGGCTGGAGTAAATGAGCTCCTACTAGTTACTTCCACCAGCCACATTCTAGTACAGCAGTCTGCCACAAGCACTGGAGGATCCGGAGTCTTGCATCTCACTGCCATTCCCATGAGGCCATGGTACAGTCTCATCTCAGCAGACGTCCTTGGTCTGCTTTGATGGAAAGTGAACAAGGACATGAGAAGTCCCCACAGCCCTTCGTGAAAGTTGAGGCTGTCGCATGTTGAGTGTCAGTGTTGTGTTCCCACCAGGATATTCTCATCACTCATCCCTTCACCAAGATCTCCAACTGGAGCAGTGGCAACACGTACTTCCATATAACCATTGGCAACCTGGTGAGAGGAAGCAAGCTGCTCTGTGAGACCTCGCTGGTAAGGAGTGTTAAAGATTATTGGGCACAGTTAAACCAAATCCTGACTTTGGCAGGCAAAATTAAATGCTTCCAGCAATTTGTCTCAGGGATGCTCTGGGCTGAAGGTGGTCTCTTAGAAGAGCCCCCGATGTGTTTTTTCCTTCTGGATTTCCTATGGCTCTGCTCAATGGGTCAGGGCTCTCACTTGGTCCATCATCCAATTTACGAGCAAGCCTGAGGTGCTTGGGACATTGCCATCTCAGGAGCATGAGGCACTGCTCCCTGTCACTGGACTGAAAAGCATATTAAAGCAGATGTGGGCTCAGGGGGAACTCTTGAGCCCTTTTACCAAGGTGCTTTGCCCAGATTGTCCCTAGTAACAGTCACAGCAACAAACCTCCTCCTAGACTATCTTAAACTCAAAGCATGAAGGATAAAAATTTTTTTTTTTGTTATTAATTTGAGGCATTCAGGATTTTGTTGGCCATTTGAAAATCCAGGTCCCATCCAAAGCTCCCTACATCCTTAGCCTCAACAGCATCCTGGGACGGTAAGTTCCTCCATCTCAACACTGTAAATTATGTTTGGACTGTGTTCCTTGTCGTGGTGTCATTTCACCCAAGGAGAATGGTGGAACAGGTCAAAATGCACCTGAAAACTTGAAAGTCAACAACTGGTAGCCAGTGTGTTCAGGAGGCACGAGCCAGAGACTGTGTTCTAAAGGCAGGTAACATCTCTCTCCTCCTCAGGGGTACAAGATGGATGATCTTTTGACCTCGTACATCAGCCAGATGCTAACAGCCATGAGCAAACAGAGGAGTGCAAAGGGTAGCAAGTGAACTGCAAGAAGCCACTGGCAGGTGGCCATGGGGCTAATTCACCAGCTGAGGCCTGTGGGATACCCGTGCAGCTGGGGGAGAACCTTTGCCTCCCAGATGTGGAAGATGAGCCGAACACCATCAGGGAGTTCGCTGGACTCTGACCTTGAGGGGTCAAATCCCACCTCCCCTTCCAGCGAAGACGACTATCTCTGACCTCCCGTTCTCCTTCCCTACCCTGCACCCCGACTCCATCTTACACCTCAAAGATTTCCAGGGGACACCACTGCTCTCAGACAGTGACTGAGCAAAGACACTCCGGCAGGATGTTTGCCTGAACCCAACAGTTGGCATCGCAAAGGCTCTTGGAAGAGGATTTGTGTGTGTGTGTGCGTGTGGCTTGTTTTGGTTTGTTTTGTTTTTTCTTAAGTAAGGGAGAGCTATCGGGATGCTAACGGCTTTTGGTGAGGCTATGGGCATTTCAGGTTTGAAGAGGAATAACAGAGCTCCAACCTATGCTGGAAAGATATCCAATGAACACTGCAGGGCTTCTTGTTGTTTGACATTACAAAAGAATACAGTTGTGTTCTTAAGAAGGACAGAAGGAAAAAGCAGGCTGGGAGGAGCACATTTTAACTAGGAATCAGAATAAACAAACTACTGATCGAACAGACTAGAGTACTAAAGTGCTGTCTGTGCAATGCTGGAAATATTTAAAGAACAAATTTTAAAGTTTTGTTTCTTCTTCTATTTATTTTTTAAAATATTAAAAAGGAAAAAAAAAAATCCTGCATTTCGTGCCGGTATCTGGACGCCGACTCGGGGCTGAGGGTGACCTGCAGGACAATCCCTCGCCCAGGGATTCCCCCAGAGCCGTGATTGCCGGAGGCTGAGTAAGGCACATCTTTCCCAACTTATGGGCTCAGCTGAAGTGAAGCTTGGAAGACGAATTATCTCCTTTTGCCCCCTGTGTCCAGGCAAATTAACCCTGGGAGGATCTTTACTGCAAGCTTCAATACGGATGTAGGGGTTTTGAAGTCCCCATGCTTGGAAGACTGAGGCCAAGCCTGTGTTGAGCTGTGATTCCAACACGGACTTGGCCATCAGCGTTGGAAACAGCTAATGATTTTATTGTGCTTTTGTGTGTGTGTTGCTGTATAAAAAGGCTCTTTACGAGTCCCAGCTGGACCTGAACCACTCACAGCAAGGGCAGGCCCTTGATTTCAGTGGGCTTTTCTCCATCTTTCTTTGGCTGTACTAATCTGCTGGCTGGTTGTCCTGTCTTCCACCCGACGCCATGCAGTGTGGACCAGCCTGCTTTGGAGCAGAGATGGGACCTGCCGGCAGAGAGGAGGCTGAAGCCATGCTGTATCTGGGGGGGATACAGGGGAAGGAGCCTGGGGTGCCTTTCCAAAATCCAGGCTTCAAAGGAGCACGTGCCTGGGTGTGTGGCAACAGGAGGGGTCAGAATTGTCCACCAAGACCTGGTGCTGGTGTGACTAACACTGAGTGGATCTCAGTAGATGTGGGAGACCTCTCTTGGTCCTGTGCATTGGGCTGAGTTTGGCTGCTTTCATAAAAGTCCATATTGTAGGGTGTTGTGTGTTGCTTTGTTAAGCTCAGCTGGGCTTGGTCGCCCAACATCATGGCATGCCAGGCAGAGTCGGCAGCACTGCCTACCGGACCTCAAGGACCGTGACATCCGACTGCGATGCAGCAGTGACTTTGGACCTCTGTTGCTCCACCAAAGTGAATGAGATGCTGCATGGAGACATCCACCAGCCGGACAGGGCTGCTAGGAGATCCCCTTCCTCCACTGTGCCCACCCAAGGCACTCTGGTGATGGGAGCGTGGTTACACCAGCCAAGGCTACACTGGGAGCTGAGCTGCCTTCTCACCATCCATCTCTGATGCTTCTCTCTCCTCCCTAGCTGCCGTGATCCAGCTGTCCCAGGGATCCCACCCGTCCTTAGACACATGCCCATCATCCCCACCACCACCACCGCTTTCGTGAGTCTCCAGCCATCCCTGCCTCCCACAGCACACTCAGTAGAAGATGCAGCATAGCAATGTTTTCCAGCGCTGTCCTGGGCCAGCTTTCCCCCACCACCACCCTTGTCCCTCCACTCACAGCTCTGTCAGCCTCTCATGCACCCCACCGTTTTGGGGGGTGCCAGGACTTTGTGTGCGTGTGCCTGTGTGTCATATGTATTGGCGTCTGCTGGCTTCTTTGTATTCACACCAAGCAATGTAACATGAAAAACATGTGTCCAAGCAAAATACTCTAATTAAAAAGCATCAAGTGGTTTGTGGGAGGATGTTCTGCACTGTGCAGTTGTGGTGGTGTCTCCATGGGGAAGGGTGGGCTCAGGGCTCCCAGGTCCTCATTGGGGACAAGACTTCTCCTTGCAGACTGGGACTCCCGGTGAGAGTATCCAGCAATGGGGAGCAAATCATCAGCGTGCCTGGACTGGAAATTAAGTGAAATCTTTTCTTTTTGGGTAAAAAACACTGGAGCCCGGGGAGTCTCCATTGCTTGTCCTCTAAGATAAGGGCTGGTTCCTCCAGAAAGGCCAGTTCTGAGCTGAATGACTGGATGTAGGAAGTACTGGGTGAAAAGTTTGTGTGTGGGAGTCAGACTAGCAGCCACGTGCTTAATGGTGTTGCCAGACCCTGCTAGCTGTGAAGCAGCAAAAATAGTAGATGAGACATGACGGGGCGTAAGGCATTGCAGGAGACCAGAGGTCTAATTGGCCAGGTTCTACTGGACAAGGCTACTGAGGACGAGGAAGGTAAGTACGGGCAAACATCACTGAGTAATGACCAAGCAGCAGCTAGATACATGGATGAAGGCTTATTGAGGTGGCTTTTCCTAATACATATTAAAAGTCATGATTGGGAGACCACAGCTTGTCGCAACCAAGTCCCTCACCTAGACACCAGGGGGACAGACTGAGGAACCCATGGTGCATACCACTGCTCAACCCACACACTCTCCACCTCCTATTTTTGCTGCTCACATACCTCCACATGAGTGGTACCCACAAAAAATTATGAACCAGCTATGGGTGCAGGGCATGGGGAGGGGGTTTAACACCATCAGTAGCATCCTCTCCCCGTGCTTCATAGATCTGGAGCTGCTCTACACCAATCCACCAGCCTTTTAGCCCTTTTCCAAAGGAGGATGCCACCTTTTTGCATTTCTAGCCTCCAAAATACTCCAAAATCGCAACTTGGTAAGGTTTGAGTGCTTCTCAGCACAGCTAACTCTGAAACCTAATGCTCCCTGTCACAATTCATCTGTGATCGCTTTATTTAGCAAAAACACCGAGCTGCATGAGGCTCATGTATGAGAAAATGTCTATACCCTGATTCAGGTAAAGACTACTATTTTCTTCCCCTTTCCCAGTTTGCCGAAATAAGAACAAAACAAGATAGGAGAGCTAAAATGTATTTAAAACAGCATTTGCAATTTACAAAAAATGTGTTCTTATTATCTGTTCAAGTAGGAATTTATGGCTTAAACCTGGGAGATGCTTGCATCTCCCTTGCAGAGCAGGGCATAGACCCCCTCCCCTCCGTGTGCCAGCAGCCACTGGGAGAAATGAAAATCGGAATAAATCCCAGGGTGCAGAGCAGGTATACAGACCTTCCCAAGGGAAAAGCAAAAGGACACTTGGTGGGACCAATTCACATGCAGCTCAATCCTCCTGAAGAAG